GAATTTGACTGTCTAGAATTCCTCCAATTTGACTTTGAAGCGGATTAGGAAAATCACGGTTAGAGCGAACCGGAATTTGCCTGTCCGGAATTCCTCCACTTTGACTTTGAACCGGATTAGGAAAATCACGGTTAGAGCGAACCGGAATTTGCCTGTCCGGAATTCCCCCACTTTGACTTTGAACCGGATTAGGAAAATCACGGTATGAGCGAACCGGAATTCGCCTCTCCGGAATTCCTCCAATTTGACTTTGAACCGGATTTGAAAATTCACGGTTTGTGCGAACCGGAAGCCGCCTCCCCGGTGTGACTCCGGTTTGATCTTAGTCCGGATTTCACTTTCCGGACTGATTTCAAACCGTTATTTTTGCTAGGGTTGGAAGTTCTCTGGGACGTCAAAGACTGTAGCACCACCTGGTGGCGTTTGCCATAAAAAAGGGTCTATAGTGCAGTGGGCTATCGTTGCAGAGGATACCACAGCTTCGCTGTCCAGCCACATTCCCAGCTTAAATTGGAGTGCAACCTTTTGTTGGGGGCCCCGCAATACATGGCCTATGTCAAACAAATGTCAACACAATCAAAAGCGTACAAGCGCGCGCTCTTCGTGCATGTCTTGGACTCCCGGCTTGTACCTCGACCGCTGGCACAATTGCAGAAGCTCACGCTACACCGGTGGGAGTTTTGCTTCTGCTGGAAGCTGTTAGAGTCCACTTAAGGCGCATTACAAAGCATACTAATCACCCTTTCTCCAATATTGGCCTTCAAAGTCAACACTCAAGCTACTCTAAAGCTCTTTCCCAAATGAGAGCCCACTTTCCAGATGATCTTGCACCGGCAAAGATTTCAATAGTACCCCCATGGAGGCGTCCCGTGCCTGATGTCACAGTGGACATTAAGGGAATCGGAAGAAAGCAAACACCCCAATCTCCGTAATTTTGCAACTTGTATTATCGAATATACTTTGTGATCATGCGTCAACAACTCATGTTTACACTGATGGGTCAGTAAGTTCGAATAGCTCAAAAGCATGTGTGGTTATCCTAAGTCACCTAACAACGAAAGCATTTAAGCTTAGCCACATGGCGTCATCTACGGCCTCTGAATTAGTGGCAATTAATCAAGCTCTTGAAATGATCTTCCCGAAACCGCCCGAACACTGGACAATATTTTCGGACTGTAAACCGGCACTACAAGTGATATCCACATTTATGAGACATAATAAAAACGATCAAATCCTTATTGACGTTCTACTGAATCTTAAAAGAGGCTTCGACCTAGGACACAATATTAAATTTCAATGGATCCTAAGTCACTGTCACATACGTGGGAACGAGGCAGCTGATGCTGGTACGAAATCAGCCCATTTCTTAACCCCAAACGTCATGGTGCCGTACTGTCGAAACGACATACGGTCTCTCATTAATCAGTACGCCTTCACCAAAACAAGAAGATTGTGGCATACTGTGACCTATCATCAGTATGGACCTCTCTGCACTTTGGATCCGGATCTTTCGTTCCACACTCCAAGTGATATGCCACGGCGGACAGAGGCAGTGATACATAGACTGAGACTCGGTGTAGCGTACACACACAAGTTCCTTCCTCGGATTGGGCAGGTCACAACACCTAAATGCCCAAGTTGTGACTCCCTTGAAACAATTCATCATATCTTATGTGATTGTGTAATCTACGACGCAGAAAGGACACAAATCAAAAACACGCTAGCATGCCTAGACAACCGACCCTTCTCCGTGACTAAGGTGCTTGGTGCTTGGGACAATCCACACAAAGAAGCCAAGGCCACAAAAGGACTGGTTAGATTCCTAGAAACAACACGCCTTGACTTCTGCTTATACACGAACTCAACTCTCCTACGTCACGCCGCGGTGGTGGCGCGTCGGTCGCACTTCCGGTCTGGGGCGGTGGGCAGAAGTCGCCGTGCGAGACATGCATTATTGTGTTCTTTTCGGATAAACCAGACGAAAACGCCGCGTTCTCGTCAAAATGCTGCGACGGGGGCTGTACCGAAAGAGTCTGGAAAGGTTTAAAGATCAATTTTCATGTGTTTCTGCCCGCTCCGTTCGTCTGAGTACATGGATAGTAGCCGTGAAAAGGGTAAACCAGACGCTGTCGAACTACGATTGCTTGTGCGGGCAACACTTTGTGGTCGGCAGATGTATTTGTTTTGTTCCAACATGAACGAGAGAAAACCGCCAAGTTGTCCGGGCCACCCGCGGGTTCAGTGCTTCTTCAAATTCACACGGCCGCATGATCGTTCTAATTTTCGTCTGCTCTTTGGAGCCTGCTTTTTGTCGTCTGCTCGTTCAAACAAAAGCGGCCCGTAGACCAAACTTTGACCCGGTGATTGCAATAAGAAGTAATTGCAGGCCTCAAAAGACTGAAGTTGGCTCGGTGTAAAGAGTAGATACAAGATGTTGATCATTGGTACCAGTGGCCATCACCGACTTGTTACGTTTGGTCTGTTCCCGCTTCCGAATTTCAGTATCGACGTCGATCATCGCCGCTACCTTCAACACTTTTGTAGCACGAGCGACGTCGCGACCGAAATTATCCAGAAGAATCTCGTCATGATTTTGACGTGCATTCTGCGGCGTTCACGCGAATAAATCGCCACTCGTCAAATTATTTACGCAAAGTTTAGCGGTGTAACGAGCCTTGATAATTTCGCTCAGGCGATTAAAGTGGTAATATATTGCTACGAGGACGTAGAATAGACAATTCCAACGCGAAAAACAGTATGCAGACTCACACATACGCCGACAACGTGACATTCCAATGGCTTGTTGACGCGGGACGCGGTGCTTTTTCCTTGCACTTAATTGCGCAGGCGTTCGAACTGTCGTCTGCTCTTCCAAACTTGTCTGCTTTTTGTCGTCAGCTCGTTCAAATGACAGCGGCCCGTAATCCAAACGTTGACCCGGTAATTCCGATAAGAACTAAGTGCAGGCCTCAAAACACTCTTGAAGGTTGGTTGGGGTAAGTAGGCTAAGTGTAAACAGTAGATACAAGAAGATGCTGATCATTGTTACCAGTGGCCATTACCGATTTGTAATGCCCGATTCTACTTGCGGTTTTCAGTATCGACGTCCACTATCTCAGCTACGGTCCACGCTTTTGCAGCCCGAGCGACGTCGCGACTGAAAATCGCGAGCAGAATCTCATCGTGCGAGTCAGGCTTCAGCGCCCATTTTGCGGCGTTCCCGTGAAATGAATCGCCGCAAGTCACATTATTCACGCAAAGTTTTGCCTTGTTAATTTTTCTGAAGCCGCTCAAGTAGTCAGGCATTGTTAGGAAAACGTAGAATCAACAATTCCAACGCGAAAAAAGAGCACGGGGACTCCCACCGACGCCGAAAACAACACAATTCAATGGTTTGTTTATGAGCGGCGGCGGGCTTCTTGCCCACCGTCCACCGCGCATGCGCGGCGCCGGTGGCGTCCGCTAGGGGCGCTCCGGTTTGTTTGTAAACATGAGTTGGTGTATAGAAGATGACCTTCATTGTTAGTGAATAGCGCAGTGTTAGTGTTCAAACTTAGTAGCTTTTACATGTTTTTAAATCGTTCTGTTCTTTCTTCTCTCTTTTAATCCTGTCACCCCTCTCCCCCAAAACAAAGTAGCAAACCGGGATAAAATACCCCAGGTTAACTTCCTTGTCTTCCTTTCTGCCCTTTCTTCCTTTTCTTTTTCTATTATGTATGAGCGTGTATGTGGCTGCGGCTTTCGTTTGGTCAGGACCGTGGGCGGTGCACTCACGACGGCGAGCGTCCCGATAGAGATCGCTGGCGCCGGCGTTGCACCTCTACACGATGCATGAGGCTGGAAGCGACGCGCTTCGAAGAGCGGCGCGCGGCTCGAGGAGTCTGGCCGCGAGGTCGGGGCCGGGCGAACGTTGCCCGGGGTTTCCGTCCGCTGTGGAAGCGGGCGCGGCTCTATCGGGGCGTTCGCATCCGGAGAGCCCCGGCGAAACGGAGTCTACGGTGCTCGTCTCTGGGCAACTTTCCGGGACGGCTACGCCGAACCAACCGTCTCTGTCCTTAGGCCTAGGACCCCGCACGCACGCATCCACCGTGCACGTCACCGTTGCAGCCGGCTGAGGCGTCGCATCGGTGAGTGCAGCGGTCCGTCGTTCATTACCGCAGGGGGTGGGCCTTAAGCTTGACCATGAAGAGTATTACGTGCTTTTGTACTCCCTCTGAGGGGCTTTCTGCAGTGCTGTACGAGGCTAGTGTGTGTCAAAATTAAGAGATACTTTCCGTAAACAAGTGATTGTGCAATCCAAATTCTTTATTTTTTTTTTAAATACAGAACTAGGTTGTCAAGATCGTGCTTTTGATAGTGCTGCGCGCGACTTGTGACGTGTTTTCTGTTTTCTATTACCGTTTCTGTGCTTCCTGGAGCACCTTCTGTGGAGCACTTTTCGGTGCTCGCCCTTGCGGCCCTGAGTAGTCTCAAGTGCGTTGTTGTGCCTGCTGTTTTTTTTTTTTTTTGTCGTTAGTGGGCGCAATAAAAGGGCATTTGCTTCAACTCTACTTGGCCGTATTACGACGCAAATATCGGCATTAGAAAGTCACATAAGGTGCAAAAATGATAAAACAGAAATATCATAATTGACTTGTATTTGATGACTGAAAGCTATTTGATCGCATATGTTAAAAAAAAAACGAGTTTGACTATTACCGGTGTCAGAGTTTGTGAGCACATACTCTGCTGTGTTCACTATAAATACACGGTGAAGAGTAGCCTTTGTGTGGTACGTCTCTGTCCGTATACCCCACGTACGGTTAATCGAGCGCTAGCACGATTAAATAATGTCCACCCGTTATTTTTCATTTCTAGTATTGCACACGTGTGCTGACATAATGGTCTCACACTAAAGCACAATGCACAAATGTTTTAGACACCTGTTTTGTGCCATTTATTGTTTCATGTCTGTTCTTAACAAAGCAAGAAGAGGAGTTGCTTCAAAGTGTACCCGGGCCATGTCGCGGACTCAAAGCTGGCTGTTCCTCGCGAGCTCGTCCACAAGGAGAGTCCCGCTGCTCGCCGGGCTCTCCCGCCTGTCAAGCTCCACCAAGGCATTGACGCGGGCTCGGACAGAAGCCTCGACGTCATCGACGACCACGACGACGACCATTAGGTCGACAGCTTCCCTGCTGGCGGAGGCGTCCCGTGTATCACCATCGACGTACTACTACTACGGCGACGCCGCAGTGAGCGTCATGTCCGTGCTGATACTCGTCTTTATGGTGCTCTCGGTCCTGGGCAATGCGATGGTAGTGCTGACGGTGGTGCGGCATCGCGGCATGCGCACGCGCACCAACATGTTCATTGTCAACTTGGCCGTCGCCGATATCCTGGTGGCTGTGCTGGACATGCCCGTTTCGCTCGCCACGTTGCTCAGGGGAGACTGGACCCTTGGATACGGATTCTGTCAGTTCAACGGCTTCACCATGGCGCTGTTGCTCATGTGCTCCATCCACACGCTCATGTACATGAGCGTCCACAAGTACGTGAGCATCACGCGACCCTTCAGCAGGGCCATGACCAAGCGGAGGGTGGGGTTCCTCATCGCGGCAGCCTGGCTCTGGCCTTTCTTCTGCGCCCTCACTCCTTTTCTCGGCCTCACCAAAATAGTATACAAGATAGGCGCGTCGCAGTGCGGCCCTGCGTACCCGCACTCGATGAAGATGTACGCCCACTCTGCGCTCATCACGGTCACCAACTACTTCGTGCCGCTGATTGTGATGGGCTTCTGCTACTTTAACATCTTCCGGGCCATTGGCGAGCACATGACACGCGTGAAGGCCACCTCTAACATCAGCCTCCACAACTCGGTGACCCAGCAGAAGCGCATAAACGTCACCCTGGTCCTGGTGCTGCTTTGCTTCCTGTTCTGCTGGACGCCATACATGATCTACACCTTCGTCGTGAACAGCAGGACAAGCAAGACGAAGGTGCCCTACATTCTCAACCCGGTGGTAAGCTAAATCTCAAGATTATTATAACAAGGAGAGCGTTCGCTAGAGTTACGGGCAAAGAGCGGGGAGGAGCCCATCACGTGGCCGAGAGCGCAGCGGTAGCTCTTGGGTAGTCATGTTACGATAATCAAACAACGCAGGCTTGAAAGAGGTTGCTTAGTAAGCTTCAAAGCTTCCCTAATTTGCTTGGTCACATAGCGAAATGCCTGAGTTCTTGTTTTTTTTTTCACGTGTTTCCTGTAGGGCAATGCTGTAGGGTATGAAGAGGTGCACAAGCTCCCCTATCGTTCTTGGATGAAAGCTATTTATTCTTTAAAGTTTATCGCCGTCCCTCCACCCTTGAAATTGAACTCCGTAGAATGAAAACGCCGTCGCTCTTGCAATCATCGGCTCGTCTAAAAATTACATTGCTTATAAAACTGAAAAGGTCACAAGTATGTAGTCTTTTCGCTAATATTGTGAGAGGCGTGAAAGAGAAATTGGATTTTCGTGTATTTTGTATTAGGGTTTTGACAAACTGTGAATTATTATTTGACCCATTGTGACCTTTCCGACTTCTTTGCAGCATTACTGTTGAGTTTTTGTCTTGTTGCTTTTTTGGTTCGTTTCTTCGCCATCTGTCATAAACACGGGGGCCTGAACCTTGTCGTCTTCATATCTGGGCTTTTTGTTCACGCCCCAAGCCTCTGTATAGCCAGTGCATTACGAGTCAAGAATTGCGGTGCGCAGTCACTAAGATATCTAGAACTACGTTATAATTGGTAAGCTTTATTGACAAAAGAATCATTAGCATGGCACACACGCACTTTCCAGTGTACAACCAAAGGCATTGGATTTATAAATTCGTTGTAGTGATCAATATTGTTTGGATGACCAAGTCGCATAATTACCCTCGTTTTTGAAGTTAAGTGGCTAGATGTCGGTAGGCCTTGTTTTAGAGAGCAGCTCTTAGGCGCCCTTTCCGGCGTGAGCGTCGTCGTCGTCGGCGTAACCGCGCGGTGCATGATGGGTAAATTTCTCTCCAAATTTAGCGGAAAATTTTCTCCGCTATATTTAGCGGGAAATCTTTTCCGCTAAATTTAGTGGAAAAATTTTCCCGCCAAACCTAGCGGAAAAATTTCTTCGCCAAATCTAGCGGAAAAATTTCCCCACTAAATATAGCGAAAAAATTTCCCCGCTAAATTTAGCGGAAAAGATTCCCCGCTAAATATAGCGTAAAAATTTCCCCGCTAAATTTAGCGAAAAAAAAATAGTGAATAGACCTCAAGGCATCTAGCATTGAGGCATACCCACTATCCTGTCAAGCAAAGCCAATCAGAGCTCGACGTTGTTCTGACGTCATCGTAACTCCCGCTCAAAAAGCAGACGAACTTGCGTTCCGCATAAACAAGGAAACGTGGTATGGGCTGAATATCACATGACTAGGCCGAATTTGACATGGAAGGGTGAACGTAAGAAGGTATTCAGACCATACCAAATAAGAAAAGTTAGAACGATTGCACGAACATCAAACCTGAACTTAGAAGAGCTGCCATCAGAGTCCGTGCCCATGTTTCAAGGTATACGGAACTATAACACGGAAAGACCATTATGGATTTCCCGTATTTCAAATTGACCCTCATTATCCGACTATTCTGTGTCGGGAACATTTTTACGAGCACGTAAAGCTAAACAAAAAACAAAAACAAAAAAAGTGAAAGCCGTTTACAAACCCCTGTAACGCCGAATGGGAGCGCAGCTCTTGAGGAGGAGGAGTGAAGGGTACTGAGGGGAGGGTAGACCCCTCCTCCTTCTCCTCCTCCTCCCCTCAATCTTTAATATGCTCCGGGGGGGGGGTCACCTGACCTCGGGGGGGGGGGGGTGTCACGTGACTTCGGGGAGGGGGGTCACGTGACCTCGGGGAGGCGTGACCTGGGGGTCACGTGACCTTGGGGGTCACCTCAAGGTCACGTGACCCCCAAGGTGACCCCCACGTGACCTCAGGGGGTCACGTGACCTTGGCGATCACGTGACCTCGGGGGTCACGTGACCTCAGAGGGGTCACGTGAACTCAGAGGGGTCACGTGGGGACCTTGGAATCACGTGACCTTGAGATGGCCTTGGGAGCGGTCACGTGACCTCAGAGGGGTCACGTGACTTGGGGGTCACGTGACCTTCAAAGGGTCACGTGGGGTCTTGGGGTCACGTGACCTTGAGATGACCTTGGGAGGGGTCACGTGACCTCGAGGGGTCACGTGACCTTGGGGGTCACGTGATCCCAAGATGACCCCACGTGACCCCGAAGGTCACGTGGTGACCTTCAGGGGGTCACAGGGGGTCACGTGACCTTGAGATGACCTTGGGAGGGGTCACGTGACCTTGGGATGACCTTGGTTACGCCAACGGCGACGCCGACGGCGACGCCGACGCCGCTCAAGCCGGGAACGGGCCCCTAAGAGCTGCGCTCTAAAAGGAAAGCCGTTTACAACTCCCTGTAATGCCGAATTAGAGCGCAGCTCTTGAGGAGGAGGAGGGAAGGGTACTAAGAGTCCCGTGTTCTCGGGGGGGGGGTGGGGTCACGTGACCTCGGGGGGTCACGTGTGGGTCATGTGACACCCCGAGGTCACGTGACCCCCAGAGAAATCCTTCCGCTAGAATTTTTCCGCTAGATTTAGCGAAGAAATTTTTCCGCTAGATTTAGCGGGGAAACTTTTCCGCTAGATTTAGCGGGGAAAAATTTCCGCTAGATTTAGCGGGGAAATTTTTTCGCTAAATTTAGCGGGGAAATTTTTTCGCTAGATTTAGTGGGGAAAATTTTCCGCTAGATTTAGCGGGGAAATTTACCCATAATGCACCGCGCGGTTACGCCGACGGCGACGCCGCTCAAGCCGGAAACGGGCGCATAAGAGCTGCGCTCTAAAAATCCCCACTAATTTTAGCAGAACATTTTCCCCGCTAAATTTAGCAGAAAAGTTTCCCGCTAAACATAGCAGAAAAAAATTTCTCGCTAAATTTTGCGGAAAGAATTCCCCGCTATATTTAGCGGAAAACTTTCCCCGCTAAATTTAGCGGAAAAAATTACCCGCTAATTTGAGCGGAAAAATTCCTCGCTAAATTTAGCGGGGAATTTTTTCCGCTATATTTAGCGGAATACTTTCCCCTAAATGGGAGGCGAGCAGGAGGGGAGAGGAGCATAGCTCCCTCTCCGTACTTTCCCCTCCTCCTCCTCAAGAGCTGCCTTCTAATTCGGCGTTACAGGGAGTTGTAAACGGCTTTCATTTTCGCCACTGAGATTGCACGACTATTGGAGCGCCATACCGCTCTCTCTCGTCACTGACCAATCTGGTAAAAGGGAGATTAATGGCTGGTGTTCAGAAGAGAGTGTAGCAACACTGAACGTAAACAGACCACGAAAAGAAAGCTGGGGGTGATGAACAGGACGACCTTTCTCCCTGGCACGTGATCATCTTGTTGTGACATCATCAGGACCTTCGTATGACGCGACTGGTTTCCTATAGTCGGCTAATGAATACCACGCTTTATTTTATTCTTGGTTTATTTCTTTCCTTCTGAGACATTTCTGCCTCTACCAAAGCCCGAATAATGGGCAATCTATTGCGGAGAAGTAACCGGAATTATTTTCTGGAAGGCGGGTTCCTCGTAGGTCACGTTTCGCTCACTAGGTGCGTTTTCTTTGGACCCGCCTGCATCAGTGTTGCAGTCGGTGTTCTTGTGAGACACTACGTTCAACTTCAGTGAATTGTTCTTGGAGACTCTGTTAACGCGTTTACTATATATTTCATGATGGCTGATTTATATGAACAATAAGTGCCAGTGGAACTTTGTTTCTTGTTTCAGAAGAGCATGGCGGAAGCGCATGTTACGCTACAGGCGACTTACAAGGAAGCTGCTTTGTGTAAAATACAAATTTACGATTTTTTTTTAAACAAGCGAAATGTTGCTTTACATTCAACGTCGCTTCGGGCATTTTTAGATCAGCAGCGGCTGATCGAAGGACACCCGAGGTCATTTCAGTTGGCGAACTGAAGTGGCAGCGGCAAGAATTCGTCAAGCCATCTTCGACAACCGCCGTCGGATGATTAATGAACTTGTGGGGGTGACTGGAGTGTTTTGGAGCTCCCGTCAGCAAATTTTATCGAAGGATTAACACATTAAACCGGTTGCAGCAAAATTTGTGCCTCGCTTCGTTAGGTTGGTTCGTCTACCAGCACCACGCGCCTGCCCACACCGTGCTGATCGAGTGCTCTGCAGTTTTGTTTCTTCCAAAACAATATCTTTGAACCCCCTCCCACCCACCCCGCATTTACCCTCCCTTTTTGTCCGACCTCGTCCCGTGTAACTATTTTTTGTTTCCCTAGATGAAGAAAAAAAAAAAGGTTGCCAGAGGAAAACGATTTGCCGATGGGGAAAGGGTGGAACAAAAAACCGACAGTAGCACTGAAAGTCATCAACGTTGACGACTAAACTGTTTTAAGGATTGAAAAACAAAACAAAAAAATCTTTTCGACAAGCGTGTTTATTAGATGGAGAGTACTTTGAAGGCGAGTAAAACTTGAGCACGTAAAAATAAACCCACAATTTGGGCAAATAAATTCCGTTTGTTTTGGGGTCTCCTTGGTATATTTCATTTTAATTGTTTAAATAAGGTGCATGGCCGTCCGTTTCGTGGACAACTAGGTAGCTGAAGACAGAAAGGAATTTGCGAACACCTGTGTATGTAAGCAAAAATTGACGTCTGTTGTGCGACGTGAAGTGTTTATGTTTTAAGCCCCAGTTAGTAAACAATCGTTTCATGTCACTTGTAATCTTTCCGCATGTGCAGGCGTACTGGTTCGGCTACCTGAACTCTGCCTGCAACCCGATCATCTACGCCTTCCGGAGCCCGTCGTTCAGACACGGCTACAAGGAACTGCTCTTCGGGAGCGGCGTCACCGTCGTCAGCTGCGAAGGTGAGGCGCCCTTCCTGTGGCTTCCTTCAGACGCCGCGCTCTGGGTGAATGAAGCGCCGGCAGGATGAGGAAGTGGGCCATCACGCCGTTCCGGTTGGAAAGAACGCGACCACCTGTTGGGAAAAGAAATACACCCGTATCGGTCCGGATGATAGTGGTAGTACTTGAACAAAAGATGGGCTTGGAAATAAATAAATAACCGAGGACATGCTGGCGAGCTGGTGAACTTTCAACATCTTGGAAACTCGAACGAAAGAGGACGATACAGAGACGTCTTCTGTGTGTGTGTCGTACCTTTTTTTTGTTCTTTGATCTCGGGTTTTGAAGATGTTCGAAAGGAGTTTGTTGCAACTTATATGCGTTAAGATAAACATGTAATGAATCTGTGGTAAAACGTATCACCTATATAAAGTTGTACGCGTATACTTGAAATCGTTAGTGACAGTTGTATACCGCGGTATGCCAGCGGCATTCTCTACTGCAATGCAGATTAAAAAAACAAAACAAGTTATTTGTGTGCTCCTTTGCTTTATTTTATAAAAGGTTAAACTGTATTGGATTCCCTTGGTCAATTTTTTATTGTGTTTACTTTATAGTAGAACACGCGTGTTGGTAACTTCAGGGTCAGTTTTGCAAATGTCCTTTTACATTTTCGTGTTTTGGTCAGCTGTTGCTGAGAGTTTTGGATATGGTAAAAATTGTTGAATGTTATTAGTTATGCATTTTTTATTTGTTAGTTGTTTTTGCTAGCTGTGATATCATTAATAACGTCACGGCTTCGCGACGGCGTCAAAAATTCATTGCGACGTGAAGTTGTAAGATGCAGTTTTAGAGAAAGCCAGAACTGATATATACATGCATATTGTTTCTAGATGTTTTGTATAATTATGCCCAGAAAGCATAGCAGATTATACAGTCTGGGCCCGTTTTCTCGAACGCGAACCGTGGTTTAAAGTTAACTATTGTCCCTAGAAGGGGGAATTCCAGGTCACGTGACTGGGAGAGCAGGGGCGCCGAGGGAGGAGCAGTACCTAGAAGCAAAATGGCTGCGGCGTCGCTTAATGAGGGCTAATAGTTCTGCTTGGTTCTGCTGAACATTCATTTCAATCCGGCTGTTATATTAATGACGCACCATCAACCTATTAGCACGTCAAGCAAAGCGGTAGTTCAGAGGGACTACAACTAACCGACGGCAGCATTCCGCGAACGCATCACTCTTCAGCAGTCCGGGATCCAAAACATATGACGATACATAAGCCTTGCAAGTGTTTTTATGGTGAGTAAAAAAAAAAATGTTTTGCGAACGGGTGTTGGTACATATTTATACTAAGACGTTTAAATTGTTACACTATGCACGCCAACTCGTGAGCAGCGATTACTTTGCGGAGAAAGGGGGTTATCCTCATTAAAGTCTTCGTTTCGGGTGAAAAGCTGAGACATTGTACTGTTTTTCTTGTTCACAGTGCGCCGACAATATGCCGACAGCACTGAGGTTTCTACATATCCCCGGTGGCCAGATATTCAACGGTGACGAGAAGCTTAGCTTCTCGTCACCGGTGAATATCTGGCCACCGGGGATATGTAGAAACCTTAGCTCTCGTCACCGGTGAATCGGTTGGGCAAACGGAAGAGAGGGCAAACAGTTGAAATCAGCAGGAATCGCAGAAACGTGCGTCGCAAGGAACGAAAACGAGACTACAGCACCAGCGTTGCCAGACTGGAAGAAACACGGAAAAGTTATGCGTTGTTTATGGCGAAACATATTGAAGGAAATGTTTCTTACATTTTCGAATATTTGTCGACAAACTCTAGCATCGTAGCTAAAATTTCTTTGTACAATCGGAAGCAAATAAATTGGTCTTCAAGTACAACATTACTATATTTTGACTTAAAATACCATACTAGATCGATGACAACCAGCGGAAAAAGAGGATAAACAAAATGACTGGCTTGTTTCACCGATAGATGGCGCATCTTATTGCCCAATCATAAATAATTATTGTTGTTTTATATCCAGCCGTTTATTACAGTAGGTACTTTTCCCTTCCTAGGCACCGTGGTTTACCAAAATGGGTTTACCATCGCTTCGAGAAAACCGGCCCTGGTAGCACCTCTTTTGTGAAGTTTGTAAATCACTAGGTTAACAAACCCTAGATCGTGAACAATCTTGCGGTTTTCTTTAACTTAATGCTGTAATTCTCCAACATAGAAACAAATTCAATCATCTGTTGTATGAGTCAGACAGTGAAGTGCTATCGCGACTGTCGTAACACAAGACGCGAAGAGGAATAGGCAGGGTTATGCAACTGAGTATTTGATCCATCTCCTGTGTTAATTGCATCGCATGTTTTTGAAAATATTTTTGGAACACTTTATTGTTGTATTTGCAAGGTTTTTGTCTGTAACTTGTTCTGTACATTTATATAAAACATCGAGAAACCTTATCAAATAGCGAAAAAAAGCGCCAAGCAAATCAGAATTACCAGCATAAAACTACTATCTAACGACGAGAAAATATTCGATGTGAAGTCATATATTAAATCCAGATCGAAAGCGAACTGAACGTTAGTACAAGTGTTAAACCTGTCTGAAAAAAGGTAAACCGCTTGACTATTTTGATCGCAAAAAAGAGCATTTAATTGATAACGCAATTACCGGGCCGACTTCGGTGTTGGTTTCTGGTGGGAAATGAGAGGTGTTTAGTGAACGTTATTATTGATCACTTAACAAACGACGAAGGTGTCTGCAAATGACCATCTTATCACAGTTTACTTTGACCATAAAGCATTACTGAAATAAAACATTTATAGAGGCATAACTTTAGCGTCCATGTACTCCTAGTGACTAGAGCAGAGGGAAAACGCAATACTTTTGACTTTGGGGTGACTCGGTCACACGTCAGATGGGTTCTTCGTTTGAAAAATACTACTGCGGTTTTGCCGTTTAATAAGATTGAATTATGCCAGATTTTTCGGGAAAATCTCAATTTCTCTTTCGTGTTGGCGATACTTGTCCGACTGGTCTAGCGGGTACAGTACTTTCTTATTCCCTAAGACAGAAAAAAAAGAAAAAAGAAATTATACCGGGTTGACAAAAATATAATTATAAGTGTACGTGAGGAAAAAACCAAACATGATACTATGAAGACGCAATTCTGATTGAATAAAATATTAGCCTTTCAACTGGCGTCACAACATATCTTGATATATCAATGGTACTGCTTAAACTCTCCAGGGTACACCGTCGGGAATTCACAGACCTACCAATTCTGTTGCAGGGAGCACTGGCCAGAGGTCCTCTAGCTTCCAGCAGAAGGTGGCGGCCGACGGTGAGATTTTATAAGGGTGTGGTTTCATTTATTTTAATGAACCTGCTGAGCGCTCAAGGTAAATAACATGCCTAGCATATACTATTAAGCTTGCATAAGCACAAACTCTGCAATATCACGGGCAAGGAAGAACACGGTTTCTATGCAAACGAAAGCAAATTTATAAAATACTGTGTGTGAAAAGTAATGAAACTGTTTACAAAGCGATTCTGTTTCTGAAATGCTTTCTTCTTGAGCTGTTTTCTTAAGAATATTCGAATCGAGCTTTGAGCTCTTGAATCGCTCGACATATTATCTTATATCAAAAACGTTACTTGAATTTATTGTTGTTGGAACACTGATATATTTCAGAATCAAAAAGGGACGTGCCTGTTAGTGTTTTTCAGTATCCTACAGAAACGTTTAAGAAAGAGCTAATCAATACCTAAGAAGCTCATGACAAAATAGCGCACGAGTAGTCCTTCAGATCCAAATTGATCTTTAGCGTTTAAATATACTCTATTCCGCACATTGGGAAACACTTTCCCGCCTACCAATCATTATTTATTTAACAATACTACCTGGCCCAAAGGGCCGTGGTAGGAGAAATGCGTGTCATCCTTGCGCAGCGGCCATGCTAATCTTCTTTGTATCGTTTCAATTTTAGTATATGAACTTTGGAAGTACATATACTAAACGTTGCATTGCTGCTTTATATAGTCTTTAACGGAACTGGTTATTGCCATCCTACACGCACTTTCACTGACATGCGACGCAGTATATAAAGGCAAGGGAGAAATAAATAAATAGCAGAAACGACAATCAAACTATTCGAAATATGGACACACGGTGAAGGACAGACTGTTTTAAAACGCAAGGAGCGTGTTGGTAGAGACTTCAAAAGCACAGAAAAAATGAAAGCCGTTTACAAATCCCTGTAACGCCGAATGGACCTTTTTCCAGTAAGCGTCTGCGCACGCGCACACCCTTTCCACTTGACCTTGACCGCCCTTTCGCCATTTTTGGGGGGCACTGTTTTCTTGCGACACTAATCTGTTCCTATGGGAGAAGGCGAGTCCGGTTGCCCTCCATTTGTAGTAGGCGGCGAAACCGTCATGGGGCACTCCTTACTGGAAAAAGGTCCATTGGAGCGCAGCTCTTGAAGGAGTAGGGAAGGGTACTGAGGGGGGCACGTCACCTGCGGGTAGTCACGTGACTCCGGGGGGTCACGTGATCTCGGGGGAGGGGAGGTCACGTGACCTGGGGGGGGGGGAGGGGGGGTCACGTGACCTCGGGGGTCACGTGACACCCCCCCCCCCCCCCCCCCCCCCCCCCCGGTTACGCCGACGCCGGTCAAGCTGGAAACGGGCCCCTAATACCTGCGCTCTAAGATAAACACAAAGAGGACAAGACACAGACGAGTACGTATCTTTCAACTCACAACAAACATTTATTCAGGGGCTTGCGTTCGCCCGCTCGCCGCCTCACCATCCCGGAGAGGGGGAGGGACGGAAGGGGCAAGGGAAATTCGAAGGAAGAAGAGGTAATGAGGGGGGGGGGGGGGGGGGGGAGGGGAACGGGTAATTCGCCAAGAATTGTATGCATCAGTTTTCGTTCCGGTTTCGTGTTTATTCTTTCCGGTTGTTTAAGTATATTTACTAACACGCTCGTTTTTAATGTTAGCCAAGATCTCCTAGCCCAAACTGGAGAGCTCGAGGCGCAAGAACACGTTCTCTCGATCGGAGAGCGTTAGCGAGGGAGAGAAAGAAGTGTTTGCCTCTGAGCCCTTTATGGCGTACGACTCTATAAGCTTTCTTCCAAGCCTTTGTCTGTGAAACCCCAAGGCGCGCGTATGCTCGAATCTGGGCATTCACCTGCCTGTCTGGCCCATGCATTCTCAGCCGCAGATGAACGGGATCGAGTAGACCCTTTTTTTTTTTATACGGGACGAACTGATTGATGCCTTTGCTTCTTAAAGCAAGGGTTTTTTAGGAAAGCGCAATTCACCTACACAGTTGTCTTAGTTTGAATTTGCAGCTGAACGCTACCCCTACACCGAATCTGGACGCGAGTGCTTTTAGCCGACGCGCTGTGTTGTGCGTATCGGGTATGACGACCAACCTCTTCTTCCGTCGTCTGGGTTCCGGTGTCGGAGTACAAGGATCGGAAATTAGCCTCTTGGGCGAGTTTTCCAGCAGACCGTTCTTTCTTTCTCATAACCGGTCCCCGGAGAGTAAACAAGGTCACGGCGAACACCGCTTCTTAATTTATTTTCAGATAAAATCAAAACATATAAAAAACAAAAGCAAAAAAAAAAAAAAGAAAAAAAAAAAAAAAGAAAACAGGACAACTTCACAATCGAAATGCCGCCAAGAAAAAGGAGAAGAAAAACCCCCAAATGACAACTTCTCCGTGTACAGAGCCTAATTTTATAAGCAAATATCTCAAATAAAGAACATGTAGTCCAGGGATATCCAGACGGACAGACGAAAAACAAAACAAAACAAAAAAAAAAACCCTTTTATGGTACGTTTACACTTGCGGATCCGCTAGCGAATCCGGCCAGCTTTTGCCGCTGGGGCGAAACGCTGGGCGGAAAACGCGGCGGCGAGCCGTTTTGGTCCAGGACCTATTTCTGCCGCCGAACTGGGCGTTTCGCTGACCGGAAGGGACATTCTTGCGCGGCGCGACGCTGCCTACGTCACGAGTACGCGTTCTTCCGGGAGCAGCAACGCCCGGGAGAGAGAGAGCCGAGGCGGGAACTCTCGTGCCTTCTCGTCATACTTGACGAGACGTTACGGGAACCGCTGCCGCAGCCGGCGCTGCCGCCACTGCTCGAAGGAAATAGATGTAAACACAACCAGCTCGTCGCCGCCGCCGCCGGGAGCGGATCCGCTGCCGCGGCAGCGGATTTCACTTCAGGTGTAAACGTACCATTAAGTGAAGGGACGCAGAAAAAAAGCGGGCGTGACATTTTTTTTTTGGTTTCTTGAATTTTAGTTGACGGCGACTGGCGAATTTCACTAATAGAGCGGTTGCTCACTATGTCACTGACCCTGACGTCCTTTTTTGGCCACCCCTGATGTATGCTATCACATGTTGTGAGACTACCGTGACAAAGAAAAAAATAGTGATAGACATATCGCATTGATAATCGGTTAACGATTTCGTTCATAAGTGGTATGAGGAAGAAAGGAATGCACGGAAATGGAATGGTATGGTAGGTGTCGTTATCAATTGATGAACGATGAAGCCTTTCTCGTAGCACGTATAACGTCCCCCTACGCGACCGCAGCGGCGGCTGTCCCGGGGTCCCCTCCGGCGGCTCCAACGGACCCCAAGTCCTGCCGACGTCCCAAGCGGTTCCTGTCGCAGACGAGCTGGGTGTCGCTCCCGCTGCTGCCCACGCGCAGGGTGGCGTCCAACTCGTCCGAGCCCTCGACGGCCAGCAGCGCGGTCGAGTCGTCGGCGTCCGAGGGGAACGGACAGGACCAGCTCAACCCGGAGCCAATCACCAGGGCCGTGTCCACGATCCTCGAGTCTCCCGCAGAAGCGGAAGATGCCGACCGTCCGGCGGTCCGAGTCTGAACAACTCGCTATACAGGGCCCCAAGGCTGTATGCACCATGAGAAATGCTGCCCGTCCACTTTCCCGCAACACACTCGGGATCGAGAGCCAAACGCTGTTTTGCTCTCTACGGAGAGGGCTCGGCGTATGACAAGGCTGAAAATACGTTTAGTCTTTAGCATACCTAAAAGTGCACTTTGCGCTGCGACATTGAACATGATGTAAGCCCACAAAACGCCAAGCCTATTGTCGCAGAGCTAACTTTTGAGGTCTAAACATATCTTAAGTCGCATCACTTGCTGAGCTCGCTGTGTAGATTGCGGCGATTGGCTCTCTCCCGAGTGCATCGCGGGAAAGTAGACGCACTTAATTGTAAGGTTCAACCCTTTTGCTTGGTAGTCCGAACTACGGTGCATCGAACGCGCCTCCGACTGGCGTCTTTAGCGCCCCGTTCCGCCCGTGCATCCAAAATGGTACCCAAGTGGCAACGCGCGACGCCACAAAAAGCCGGAGCGTCGTGTTGTCGGATGTCGCGATTCTGGCGGTTGGGCGTACAAGTTGTGGAGAAGGGCAGGTGGGAACGCTAATGTCGCTGTCGTCGCGGCGTCCCAACTCTTGGCCGCCGAAGCTTCCGCGGACTGTCACACAAGGGAGCAACCTGCAGCGGAGCAGGCGTCTGTCAGATGCACCACCGCTTGTTGCGACGCCTCCAGGATCGCGGCCGGCGACGGCGTGACACTTTGAGAGACCACTTTTTTGGATACGGTGAACACACCAGTCAGAGGCGCGTTTTAGGCACCGTAGTTCTACGGTTGTCTGTAGTCGCTGAGGCTTAAAAAACGCTGGGTATGACGAGTCCCGAGAATCTCATTATGGCTCGGCAGTCAATGAGAGTGCAGCATTTACCGACGAGAAAGCCGAAGGGCGAACCACGAAGCAAGGAGCGTGAGCACAATGGAGCCACGCTCGGCGTTTCTTAACCTTTCAGTGACTCTAGTGTTCCTCGAATGTACTGTACTCTCAGGGGGCGTGCACTGCACCAGAGCGCACTCTGTACACGAAACAGTAATAAGTGGCCTTTCTTTAATTAGCTTACCCTAAAGAAGGGTGAGTGGTATCGCTCCTCATTGGTCCTGCAGTCTCGATGACAGAACAAAAGCTCCGCTCCTTTGGTTACTTGGATTGCGTTCCCATTGGAGTGTGGCGATACCGATACATATTTCTAATTGGTTTAACTGTCTACAGCAAGGCCAAAGGTTGTCCTATAGAGGGCGTCGTGGTGTAAGGTACGTGCATGTGCTCTGGGATCTCTGAAAGTGCGCCGACTTTTCATCGAATTGTGTCGTTCTTGCTTGTGCCACGCACACGCGTACGTGCTTACATTCCACTGCACTGGTATAATTCTAGCGGTCGCTTATTAGCCGGATGAGAACAGTGCGGTCAATGGGCAATCGATCGAGGGATAGGGTTCACTGGGTTGCGCTCTGTACAGTCATGCATTGCCCTGTTTTTGGGACCATTTCTTTGATTACGCTCATGTAGGTTCACAACCACCAGGCCTTAGGGGCGGTAAGCAAGGAAGTAAGCCTTGTTTACGTACGTGCTGAACTGGTAAATGGTTAAGTTTTGTGATTATGGTGATTTTATGCGAACATTTCTCCAAACTATCAACTGATGAATGTTGCAGTATTTATCGTAGTTGACAACCTATACAGTTATTGTTGTAGAAGGGAAACTTACCGTCGGGATAGAGTGTGGCGCGCACACGTTTTAAAGCCGCGAGGCGCGTACCCGCGCCTGCGCGCCTCGCGTCATTGAAAGCATGTGCGCGAATAAGAACGGTTCCTCGAGCTCCTGTAATGCAACGCCATCCCACGGCGTTCGTCAGGAATAGTACAGAACATTCGACACAGTTGCTCTATGGCGAGGCGGCGCCGTTCAGAGACCTAGCTCTGTATTCCGTCACCGTGCTCCTGATTAAACCGGATAGCGAAGTTTTAGACGTTTTGATGGCTGCCTTATCCTTTTTTAATCTCGTTTCATCCTCTGTAATTCTCTGACCTTTCTTACCTTTGGATTGATTAAAGAAGTGGATCATCTCTTCTGCATCATTTAGTGTG